CACTGGTTCATTCCCCACGAGGCCACAACAGCCGGGGTGGATCAGGGCCCTGGCCAGAGCCAGGAGCTTCCTCTGCACCTCCCGTGTGGATGACAAGGACCCAAACACTTGGGCCATCTTTTGCTGCTTTTTCCAGGCCATGAGCAAGGAGCTGGATCAGAAGTGGAACAGCTGGACATGAAGTGCCGCCCTCAGGGTGCCGGCATTGCAGGCTGCAGCATTACCCACAATGCCACGCGCCTCTGTGAACTTTGCACACACCCGTTGGGCTTTCTCCTTAGCCCTTAGTGCAGTGCCATGTAGGCTTGTGATTTGGGAAATGAGTGTGATCATCGTTGGAGCTTGACCTTGAACGCTTTCAGTCATTTCAGCAACCAGTCAGTTCCTTCACCACCAAAATCTGGGGTCAAAGCGTAGTGCGTGACTCAAAGGGGAAAAAACCCCCTTGGTCTACTTAGCGGCTAACATTCATTATGCGCCAAGTAGGATCAGTTTTTCAACTATGCATTACTTGAAAAGACTGACCAAGGGAAGCTGTTTCACCTGATCTTTATTCACTTATCCCTGAAGTACTCTTGTCACAGTCCTCCCAGAAAGGCATGATCCTTGCATGGATCAACATAGGTGTCGGGAGTTCGTGCTTTTTCCTTAATATTTTTACTTTTGTATGTGAGGTCTCAAAGTGTTCTTCCCTGTGTTCTGTCATGTAGCTTCTTCTTGACGCGGGTACAAAGTAAAGGCATTATTTGACGGTTTTCCCTCCTCTGGGGATGTGTGCGTGGGGTCACTTCTGCAGGCCTCCCTCCTGCAATGCAGAGAAACCTTCCTGGCCTCAGAACCAGGACGAGGTGTCCCAGTACACGTGCTGGTCTATGTTCAGGACAGACTCTTCCCTGCTGGGGTCCTTCCTCGTGTCTTAGGAAGAATGGGCATGAGTCAGCAAATGAGCCCAGAGATTAAAAACCAGGTGGGAAACATGGAGGAGCTGCCCCCACGAGAGGCATTTGCCTCTGAACGCTAGGCACCTGGGGGGGGGGGGGGTTCTTTTACAGCAGGAAAAATGACCACTTGAACCTAAAGCCATTGAGTGCAGTGGCAGAGCGGGCGGGACCCTGGCGGCACAGAGCGGTGAAGAGGTGGCTTCCCACGGGCTGCCCCGGGCAGCAGCCACAGATTAATCGTCCATGCTGCAGCCAGCATTTACTCCTTCTCCCATTTGTGCAGCCGTCATGGTCTCCATTTTAATGTTTGGAAGGTAAGTTCAGCTGATGGACACTCTGTTGTAATGAAAAGCTCTCTGAAAGTACATGCGCGCGCGCACACACACACACACGCACGTGCGCACAGAGTAAGAAGTGGCCCCGCTGGTGCGCGTGGCTCTCATGGAGTACATTTGTGAGCCCAAAGCTTAGTCCTGGCCATGTTTATAGCACTTTAGCTCCGTTTGTGAGTTTGGACCCCTTCCAGAAAAAGAAGAGAAAGACATATATTATTGTTTATAATCTGCTTTATTCCGCCAAACCTTGACTGAGCGGACTCGTGGATTGCTGTTTAAATCCCCCAGTGCCTTTAACTACTGATACAGAAAGTGGTTAATGCGCATTCTAAACGAAGCTTGGCATCCACTCCAGGAAATCACTTTAATTGAGAAGCATTAAATGTTAAAATGATTTAGAAAAAAAACAACCGCTAGCACGCATATTGAGTGTAAAGTCCCAGCCCACCAGTAATAGAGTTTCTTGGTTATTGTGTTCCTCCAGCCCGAGTGAGCTTTAAGCTCTGCATTTGACAGGTGTCAGAAAAGTGACTGTGAATTCCCCAGGTCACTATCAGCTGGCCAGTGAGGGGGCAGCCTTCAAGGACTCCACTGGAGAGGGAGAGCTGTCGACTTTATGGATGTTTGTTTTTCTGGGATAATAAACGAGTCCCAGGTGACTAAAATACGAGTTTTAACCCCGAAGTCCTTGCCTGGGCTTCCCACTGCTGTGCAGAAGCCATCTGTTGAAACCTATTTACCATTTTAATGGCCTTTAAAAAAAAATGCTTATTTCCAACTCAAGTGTGTGCCAAGACCACTTTTTTGGATCTATATTTTATCTTTCAGAAAGCAATTCCCAGCCTTTCCCAAATCCCCTAGCCCCTCCCAGCCAACAGGAGCTTGTGGGCCAGGGCTGGCGAGCAAGAGAAAGATCAGTCTTGAATAAATAAATGAGGGCAGTGGCTGTGGCACCTGCCGGCGGGGCAGGCCCAGGGCAGCCTGTCCCCCACCCTAGGGCCGCTTCCACGGCACATCCACGTGGGGAGAAGGGAACGTGTGCTCCTGTCAGGTCCAGCCTGGGGCCTGTTCTGTTGAATTACAAAATAACGTAGCCATTGGTATATAACTCCCACGTCCCATCTGTGTGTCTGAGGGCCAGCGAAAGGAAAGGGTGAAACTGTGAGGATGCCCTGAGATCACATTGGCGAAGATAAGAAGATGAGTGACGAGGTCGGCTCTCAGAGACCCACACCACATAGGAGGCCCACAGCTGCTTCCGCTGAACCATTGTGAGTAATGCACCGAGGACAGACGCTCACCACTTAAAAGACCCCTGCTTATTTGTGTGATAGTTTGATGGTTTCTTTTCCTTACTCCTTTCAGAAGGACGATAGTAAACATTTCCCTCTTCCTAAGGACCTGGCCCGTTTCATAAACCCGGATTTCCCCTCCCTCCCAACTCCGGGCATTCGTGCAGCAGCACTGGCCCGGCTGCTGCTCCCCTGCGGCTGCCCTGGGCCAAGTCCTGGCCGGGGCCGAGGCCTGCCAGTGCTCGCCGTGCAGCCGGGCTCGGGGCTCCGGGGGAGGCGCCAGGCACTCTGGATGGAAACACTGGAGCAGCTCCTGCAGAGGGCAGATGGAAGCTGGCCTTTGGCTGTTGGGGGGACCCTCAGAGCCCCGTCTCAAACAGCAGATGTAAGGAGACACGTGCCAACACGGCATCCTCACGATTTCATTCTAGCTTAGCAACAAACCACAGGTGGCCCCACACTGCCTGGCTTTTCCTCTCTCTCCACAGTGATGTGCACCGAGTGGAACCCTGGGCCCGAAGAGAAAGCACAGGAAAGCGGTGGAGACGCTGCCTGCCGGGCCTCCCTGCAGTCTCCCAAGTGGGTCCCGGAGTCCTTCTGCCCGGGGATGGCCTGCCTTTACTCTCCTCTAAGCAGCTGGACAGACAGGAGGGAAGGGAGACTCAAGACAGGCAGGCTGGAGGACGAGGGGCCTAAGAAGTGCCCGATGAATTCAGCCACCCAGTGACGTGGTGCCAAGTGCATCGTGGCCCGAATCCTCAGGCACCCTTGGAGTACCCAGATTTAGAAGCAGCAGGGCCCTTGGGAGCCATGTCCAGTGTCCCCACAATCACTAAGGTACTGAGCTGGCAAAGCACAGTAGTCCTGAGGCCCAGTGCCCTGTGTCCCCTGCCAACACCCCTCCTCTCGCTTGATGCCCTCATCGTGTCCCCCCTCCCTTGCCACATAGCCCTGGCAGGTCACCAGGGGGGTGTAGCCAAGGACAGCAGGGCTTGGGGGCTCCCCTGAAAGACTGGGGCACAGAGTGGGTCTAGGACTTACGTTAAGTCGCGACAGCCTGGTGGCAGCGCTGGACAGAGAACAAGGCCCAGAGCCTCCTGCTTTCCACCGAAGCGTGCACTTTTTCTCTTTTTTTCAAAGTTGTCTGTGCCCAGGAAAGGAGAAAACGGGGACTCAGCAAAATCAGACGGCAGAGAAGTTAGCATTGCCGCTGCTGCGGAGTCCCGGGAGCCTTTCCCAGGCACCCCAGCGTAACGAGCAGCTACCCCGCACAGCCTGGCAGCCTCCGACAGCCCCACACACCGGCACAGAAATGTGTCCCAGCCACATTGTCCGCAGTGGCCCCAGGCCACGTCGCTACCGGGCACCGGAAGCCTGGCTGGCTGTGTGCGGAACTACACTGTTAGTCCAGTTTCCACACATGCTACTGTATCGGGCCACACGGGTGGATCTGGATCTTGTCCCATCACTGGCGGGGAAGGCGCCTGCTGGTGTTTGCCCAGCCGAACCCCGGCCCTACGGAAACGCTGCGTCTTGGTCATCTTTAGTCGAAAGTCTCTGTTGCTCCAGCCTCCGCAGCCGCACACTGGGCCTGCTGCAGAGAGCACACCGGACAGAGATTTTCCTAGGAAACGCTCCCTGGTTGAACAGAGGCCCTGGGGACTCTGAGGTCCCTGGTTTCTCCTGGCTACTCTACTTCTGTCCCAGCACCCTGCTAGTGCACACCGTGGCAGGCAGCAGGTGATGTCCCTCTCCCCCTCGCCCAAACAGGCACGTTTGCAGGTGGTCTCTAGGGAGAACATTTTTCAGTGTGAACAGCTTTAAGATGCAACAGCATAGGGGCCAGCCCTGTGGCATAACGGATTAAGCCACCACCTGCAGCACCAGCAGCCCTTATGGACGCTGGTTTGAGTCCCAGCAGCTCCACTTCCAATCCACACCCTCTAATGCACCTGGGAAAGCAGCAGAAGATGGCTCAAGTGCTTGGGCCCCTGCACCTGTGTGGGAGACCTGGCTGTGGCTCCTGGCTTCAGCCTGGCCCAGCCCCAGCCGTTGCAGCCATTTGGGGAGTGAACCAGCAGATAGAAGATCTCTTCCTCTCCCCTCTCTCTCTGTAACTCTGCTTTTCAAATAAATAAATCTTTAAAAACAAGATGCAACAGGATAAATAGCTGACAGTTACGTGGTCTGAGTTTGTTCCGCCCGCTGCCTAGTCTCGGAGCAGGGAATCCTGTCCAAGAAGTCGCTCAAAAGCCCAGAGCCCCTCCTCCCAGCGCCCTTCCATTTCCTGGCCGGAAGTACTTGTCCTCCTGCCTGCAGAGCCGTCTTTTGATTCCCTTGTGGGGATAAAAGGATCCCATGTCAGCTCAGCTTTCTGTTCCGTTGACGTCAGACAGACAGACTTCCAGAGAACCAAATGAGAAGCCGGAGCCGTCAGATTCTAAAGAACGTCGTGTTTATTTTACAGGCTTACCGAACACATCTCATGCCAACACACAGGAGGCACAGACAGACAACGCACCAGCTTGTTTTCCAAAGTCACATGGCAATAAATAAAGACGGGTGGGGCCTTTTGTTTTCCTCTTTCTTTTTCCCAGGAAACGAGACTCCATTTCTCTTCAACTGTACAAAATTTACAGTGCGAGGGATGAGGGCAGCAGTCCAGGGCTCGGGGGCCCCCGGGGCCTTGAGGTCTGACCGTGAGCTCAGAACGGCTGCCGGGCCCCTGAGCCCTGAGCCGGCTTGCTTGGCTGAGCAGAGTCCTCAAGTGGGCAAGTACACGGGGGTCCTCGTCTCCAGGTGGGCAGCGGGGGCGCGTGGGGGGGTGTCCTTGCTCTGGCCACCTGTGCTCTGCCTCCTGCGGCAAAGGAGCGCTTGGCACACCTCCCGGGCCCGCCGCTGCCTCCTCACCAGAGCTAGCAGCATGAAACTGTGCTTTTCGTGTGGTCCTACCAAGCGGGGTGTGGATGGGATGACTGCTGAGCTCTCTCTTTTTGGCTGTGGTCACTGTGCCAGAGCAGTTGCAGCAAGGGCCAGCTGACCAGTCCGAGAGAGAGAGAGCCAGGGATGTGCTTTTTATTTCGCTTCCAGCATGCCCAGAGCCGTTCAGCAGCAGGCAATAAAACAAAACTCATTTCCGCCTAATTGAATTTGTCTTCATCTCACAGTTTCCAGTTTTTAAAGTGCAATGGTTACAAACGAGCCTCCCCAGGCCTTCCAGACCCTGCAGGCCGAGGAGGTGTGGTCCTCATCTCCGAGGTTAGAACCAGGCTGTCGGGGGCGGCGTGTGGCAGGTGGGTGCTGGACAGCACACTGGCAGCCAGCACCCGGCTTTTGCCCATCGGGAGCCTTGAGCCCCCTCTGGCCAGGAGACAGGTGGCTCAAAATAACCAACGCACGCTTCCAGGGAGAATGTCTGCTGGTCTACAGATGTCTTAGACTTCCGTGCAAGGTGAGCTTCATAGAGCAGCCCTCACACTCAAGTATTTTATTAGATTTTAGGTTTTACACTGGTTTCTCCTGGCTCCCCTACTTCTGTCCCAGCACCCTGCTGATGCACACCGGGGCAGGCAGCAGGTGATGGCTCAAGTACTTGGGCCACTGCCACCCACGCAGGAGACCCAGAACGAGTCCCAGGCTCCTGGCTTTGGCCTGGCCCAGCCCTGGCTGCGGTAGGCATTTGGGGGAATGAACCAGCCAATGGAAGATCTCTGCCTCTCTACCTTTCAACTAAAATGAAAATTAAAAAAAAAAAAAAAAAAAAAGGCTCAGCAATTGTTTGAAGAAGAAAAAAAAAAAAAAAGAACTTTAAGGATACAGCCAAATGCTCTTTTAAAGTCTGATTTCTGCTCTCTTTCCCTCATGTTCCACTATGAATTTGCAGGAATGATGTTATCGGCATGGTGGTTGCTGTCCGTTTTATATTCATCACTGTGGCACCAGTGCTGCAGACAGAAACCCCACCTGCAGGGAAGCCCACGTAAAGCCCGAGACCCCCGTGGCTGTGCTCCTACACGGGCACCAGTGTTTGCTGCACTCCAGGGAGGCGGCTCGGGGCACAGGAAGCCCTCCCGGTTTGCTGGCTTGCGCGCTCTCAAGGGTTTTGCCAGCCAGCCACACTGCTCACTCCGCTCTGCAAGAGAATTACTTTGTTGGTGTGAACAAGCAAAGCCTCCCAGGCTCCCAGCATTGAATTGGGAGTCTGATGAAGTGTTAAAAAAAAAAAAATCGGCTTCAACTGCTGTTACACGGTGCCACCCTGGTAGGGATGCCCCCCTGGAAAAGCCTGCTCGCTCGCCCTATCCACCACTCACCAAAAGCAGGAGGCGCTGAGGGGCACAGCCACGCTGAGGCTGGTCCGGCCAGGGCAGCTGTGCAGCTGGGTCATCGCCCAGTGCAGCTGTTCTGCACGTTGTGAGCAGCCTTGTAAGACAGTGTGTTTAAGAAGCTGTCCTCAGAAGACACGGCTGCATTTCTCTTCCTGCGCATGGTTTGTCACCTTGCACTCGCGCCTCCATCCCTCTCCCCAGCCCAGGGTTCACCCAGGGCATTCCCCAATCGCACAGGAACTGGACGGGCTTAACACACTGGTAGCGTGAACGCGGGACCTCAAGAAAAGGATCTACCTTTGCAGACTCCACGAAAAGACCACAGCAGCTGTAGCACACCAAAAGTTAGGGCTACACTGCAAAACGGATCAGAGCAAAGGCGGCCTGAAGATGGATGAGGCATTCCAGAGGGGCTCAAGTCCAGCCGCAGCAGACAACGGGGACCTGCCATTACTCCTTTCCCCTGCCTGCCACGTGCCGACGGCTCTGCTGGCCGCCTGCCCCCAGAATGAAGGGGTTCTCGGGGTCTCCGGCCCCATCACATCATGTGAAAGAGGGGCAGCGCCTCCTCACCCTCCCTGCTGTGCCCGTCTTGTTGAAGAGAACAAGAGGCTGGAAGCAGCCAACCACTGTTTCCCAAGGGGGCAGGGCTGACGCCAGCTGGTTACAGTCCATTTTGCCCGTGGGGAGCTTGCTGGTGGCCAGATGCGGGTGCAGAGGGGGGAGCTGCAGCACCATCCGAGCTGGTGCCTCCCGGGGCAACCACGCGCTGCAGGCTTTGTAACATGCGCTGCAAACCTCAAAGCAGGGAGTCCCTGCACGCCACTGGCTTCCTCGGCTCACGTCCAGCCAGCCACCCAGACAGAGGCAGCCCACGGACCACCTGGAACCCCTTGGACAATCCTAAGGCTGCTCCCTCAGTGACGACTCCCAACCGAGGTGGCCAGAACAGCCAGCACCCCTTGTTCCTGGAAGCAACCAAGACTGTCCTCCAATGGAGCCAGTGAAAACAGCAAAGCAGAGGGGGAACCTGACCTGCAAACTCACCCAAAGCAACTCCCTCCCGGCAGACTCTCAATCTCACTACGAAAGCACGGGGCCTCGGGGCCTGGCCTCGCCCGTAGGGCTAGGAGCCTGCACGCGTGGAATCCCAGGCGCCTACACCTGTTCTCACTGATTGTCGTTCTGTCCTCTCCACGGCTTAGCTTTGATCGTTTTGCACCCCACGGCCTGGCTTGGGGAGTAAATGTCTGAGCAAACTGAAAAGGCACAGTGTGCACCCAGGGGGCTCCTCGGGCAGCCCGCGTGGTGCCCCGGGCGCTTGGCTCCAGCCTGAGTCACCTGCAGTGAGAACCAGGCTTGCCATCAGGGATCCGGGGACAGAAGGGATTTCTTGAGAAGCCCATACAGGCAAATATCCTCTGGACTGTACTTCCAGCTTAAAAAAAAAAAAAAAAAAAAAAAAAAGCGTGTTTTCACAGAAAAAAATAAATAAATAGAAGAGCAGAGGGGCATGTTTCTAGTTTCAAACTGTAGCCATCCAAACGGTGAGCGTGTTTATTCTGGAAGTGAGGGCTGCTCCAGAAATCGCTTTGACTCTACGCCAGGGCCTCTGCCCCAGGAATCTCGATTTCTGGTGAAAGCACTGGGTTGGGAGGCGTTGGCGTGAGACGCACCTGTTGGAGCAGAGTCCCCGGGGGGCCAGGGTGGCCTTGTCACAGTCACCTTGTGCCACCAAAGCACTGAGCAGCCAAAGCCTACAAGCCGGACGGGAGGTGCATGGGCGGGGCGGGGTGGGGTGGGGGAGGCGAGCCGCCAAGCCAGCAGCCCTAGCGCGAGGGGTTTCCCAGCTCCAGGCCAGGTTTGGAGACGCCACAGCCTGCCCACCGCCTCCCCCACGGAAACCAGGCCCTAGCTAGGTCTGCCAGCCTGCTGGGGCTCGGCGGAGCGCATCCATTGAAAATAATGGAAATCCCCACCGGCACATTTTTGATCCCGAAAAAGCAAAGTCTCTTTGATCCTTGAAGACGCTCTCTCTCAAGCCCAAAGGCCAGGCAGGGCGGGGAGAAGTTTAGAAAGGAGGGTGATCCATCTCATCGAGCCACGAGGCCGGGCTGGTGGGAAAGTCGGGGTAGCCTACACTGCTCCCCGTGGAGATGTCGGAGGTGGGCCCCCCGGCCATAGCTCTCAGCGTGTGGTTCACTCCCTGCCCTGCGGGCGCCACCACACCCAGATTACTGTCCACCGTGTAATCCAGCCCATGGAGCAAAGGGGCGTGGGTGGGCAGGGAGGAGATGGAGGACGGAGACTGGGGGACCCCATAGGGGCTCCCATCTCCCAGGTCCTGGTAGGGCTGCCGGGTCCCGTCCATGGAGAAGCTCCCATTCATTAACTGTCCGCCTGTAACGTCCCCCACGTTGCCATAAATCCTATTGGTGTGGCCAAGTTCTGAGAGAATTTGATCCTCTGTGGACAAAAGAACGCAGGTTTATTGTCAACTGCCAGGACTCGGCGGTCCCTGCCCTTCGCGACCTAGGAACGCACAGGCCCAGGACAGACGCCCAAGCGCAGGTCAGACACCAGCACGCGGGCCGGGCATCCGGAGACCAACCCAGGCCGAGGGGACCCACGGGAGGAACCCCAGCAAGAACTAAGATCCTGGGGCCCAGGAGGCTGGAGACACGCCGGGCCCGGGTGACGTGTGCACTCTCAGGAGCGACACACACCACAGGTGGAAGCCAGGGGCGGCCAGGAGCTACTCTGAAAACTTCCCAGCTGAGACAAGGACTTGTCTGCCTTGGTGGGGCACAGCAGGTGGCTGTGGTCGGGCAGCTGAGGCCCACTCGTAGCCGTGTGTGCAGAGTCCTGGTCCACCCGGAAGAGTACCTCCAAGCAAACACGGCTTCTCGTTCCTTAAAGACTCTATTAAGGGGCTCAAATATGGAATGTCTGCCACCTGGAGGAACTCCTCTCCCCACCAGAGGAGAGCAGGTGGAGTCCAGGAAACAAGGGGTTCTATATGGCCCGGCTCCCAGAATCACTGGACACGGCTGAATGTTCTCGTCCGTTCCCCCGGGGGAGGCAGGCGCCCGGAGGAGGCCAGGGGCTTTCGGAGCAAGGGCATCAGGTCCGCGGGCCCTGTGTCCTGAGAGCAAGCTGACCCCCAGGACAGCCCCCTCCTCTCTGTCCTGACGGCCCCTCCCGCTTCCACCCAGGCCTGTGCGTCGGTCCCTACGTCAGACCTCCTCAACCTCAACCAACACCCACCCCGGTCTTTCCGAGGCCACCCCTGATTCCACTCCTGAAGCTGGATGGGGGCGGGGCTCACGCCCTCTAAAGGGGAAGGCCCATAGGACCCACAGTCGGCTGCACCCGCTGGTGGCCCACAGCACCCGGAGATGGGCAGAGAGCTACTCTTCCCCACTCAACACACAGGGCAGCTGAGGCTTGAGGGAAGCCAATCAAGCCGACAGAGCCACCTGGAAAGCAGGTTTCTGACCGCCCCACCCCCAGGGCGGTCCCCCACCCCCACCCCCGTAGAGGGCCCAGCAAGTGGGAATTCTCAGGAATTACATGCAGTCATTGCAATCTCGCGGATGCACGGATCGGAACGTGGCGCATGCGGCAAAGCAGGTGTGCGGCGCGCTGCGTGGACCGAGTGGGGCGGGAAGGGGTGTCCCAGGTGAAGCCAGTGCCCCCATCTGGCATGCACCGGCACTGCTGATTCCCCAGGGGAAGGGGCCTGTGGCGAGGCTGGGGACCGAGACTGGGATGCAGCCCTTGGTCTACAGCCGTGTGGGCCGGTGAGGGGGCCCCAGTAGACAGGAAAGGGGGGGGGGCAGGGAGCCCGACTTTCACAGCTCAGGGGCAGGGCTCTTCCTAGGGGCTGCCCACCACCCCCACCCCGGCCTCGGCCGCCAGTCCTGGGGCAAGGGCTGTGCCCAGGCAGGCGCGGCCAGGACCTGGGGGTTGCCGCACCTCGGGGGCCTCGGCCTGGAGCCTCCGGCCCTGCTCACCTCGGAAGCTCAGCTCACTGTCACTGACCCCACAGTCCTCCGCAGAGCTCTCCTTCTCCTGCTTGCCGCCTGCCCGGCTCCTCTTGACGCTCTTGTAGAACTGCCCCCAGCGGTGCCGGCCCGCGTCTTTCTTCAGCCGCTTCTCCTTGGCCCGTCGGTTCTGGAACCAGACCTGCGGTGCGCGCGTGCGCGCGAGCGAGAGCAGCCAGGTGGGTGCCCGCCCGGCGCGCCCACGGCCGCCCCGCGCGCCCCCGTCCAAGTCCCCGGGGCCGCTCACCTGCACGACCCGCATGTCCAGGCCGGTCTCCGAGGAGAGCTGCTCGCGCACGTGCCGCGCGGGCTTCGGGGAGTTCTTGTAGGCGTTCTTCAGCGTCTCCAGCTGCTTGGCCGTGATGGTGGTGCGCGGCCGCTTGGCCCCGGCCTCCGAGTCGTCTGCGGGGAGAGGCACCTCTCACCGGGCCGCCCGCCCTCCTGCCTGGGCCCTGGGGCAGCGGGCAGGTCGCCATCCGCAGGCCCCCTCCGGCCGCCCCCGCCCAGCAGGACCCACGTCCCTGTCTGGACAAGCACCCTTGCCCACAAGGCCTCGCCCCCTCCGAGCCCCTGCCCCACCGTCCCGGGCGCACAGCTGGGTGAGCTGCACGCTCAGCAGGCCCCTTAGGCAGAGACTGCGGATCAAACCCTGGTCCAGAGCCTACTGGCGAATTCTGAAGTCAACCGAGTGGATGGAAACCAGAGAGGAAGCAGGAGGAACAGAACGGGACGGGTACTGCCCCACGACACCCGTCTGCCTCTGGCGTGGGTAGGACTGCGGAAATGCGAAATGAGGTTCTCCCTCTGGGTCACGGTCAAAATCTGAAAACCAGCGTCTAGGTGCCCTCAGGGCACCAGCAAGAAGAGACACACGAAGTGTTCCCTGGATTCGCAGCAGACAAGCCTTGGGCTCCGCTGTGTGTGCCGCTCGGGGGCGGGCACGGAGTGAGCAGCTGCACAGACCAACCTCACAGCCTGCTGCTCCTCTGCCCACACGGAGGCCGCCCCCTCCGTGCGCAGTGCCCCTGGGGGCCAACCCGGTCAAGCTGCCAGCTGTGTCCCTCAGCTCCCGCTCAGCTTGGGGCACAGCGGGTAAAACAGGCACCTGCTCCAGTCCCACCCAGCTCTCTGCTGTGGCCTGGGAAAGCAGTACAAGATGGCCCAAGTGCTTGGGCCCCTGCACCCACGTGGGAGACTCAGGAGAAGCTCCCGGCTTCAGCCTGGCCCGGTAATTCGCCATTGCAGCCATCTGGGGAGTGAACCAGCGGATGGAAGACTTCCGTCTCTCCCTCTATGTACCTCTTTCCCAATAAATAAATCTTTTTAAAAATAAAATATCTTTGCTACATTCCTGCCTTCCTCCTCAACCTCTGCTTCTTCAACATTCAAGAAGACTCACTCTTAGGAACAAAGAGTAGCCAGCATTTATTAAGCACTTACTGTATGCCTGGCCTGGTTTGAATATAATTTGGGCAGGAAACTCAGGCAGAATGTTAAACACCGGGAGAGGTGGATATGCTCACCAACAGCATACCCTCTGAAGGGCTGTTATAAAAGTCTGAACTTGGCCCCGCCTCTCTTCTCTGCTCCCTGGCTCGCCATCTGCTCCCCCCGTCCCGCCCGCGCGCACACACACACACACACACACACACGTCTCCAGTGCCACCCTGGGCAGTCCTGCACCCTCCGGGCAGTGGGGTGTTCCAGGAGCGAAGTGGTTGTGCACGCGCAGAGGGGGCTCGAGGCCCAACGTCCTCTCTTCTCTGTGGGCTGTTTCCTCCTCTGGCACAGCCACTGTCATCCCAGGACCCTGCCCACCCCTGTCTCCCAGAGGCAGAGGCTCACTGCCTAGAGATCGGTTCCAAAAAGGGGAGAGGGACACCTCCAGAAGGCTATGCTTTAAATTCTATTATGGGGAAATCAATCCCTTCTCCTGTATTTAGAGAGTTTACATTAGGACAGCTTTTGGCACAAATTTGAATTATGCAAATATGAAATCGTATGAGGGCACTTCAAAAGCTCATGGAAAATGGAATTCTAAGATAAATTTATTCTGGTGCAAAAAAGAAATCCATGCATATGAGGGAGGGTCTTCAAAAAGTTTATGGAGGGGCTGGCACTGTGGCATAGTAGCTTAGGATCCTCCTGTGGCACCAGCATCCCATAGAGGCGCCAGTTCAAGTCCCGGCTACTCCACTTCCAATCCAGCTCTCTGCTAATGACTTGGGGAAGCAGTAGATGGCCCAAATGCTTGGGCCCCTGCACCTGCATGGGAGACATGGAAGAGGCTCATGGTTCTTGGCTTCAGATCGGCCCAGCTCCAGCCATTGAGGCCATTTGGGAAGTGAACCAGCAGATGCAAGACACCCCCCCCCCCGCTTCTCTGTAACTCTGCCTTTCAAAATAAATATTTTTTTAAAATGTTCATGGAAATGTATATCATGAAAAAACTGCAGGGGTTTCAAAAATTTCTGTACCAAAATAAAGATCTTTTTTATAAGATTTATTTATTTGAAGGTCAGAGTCAGAGAGAGAGAAGGAGAGGCAGAGAGGTCTTCCATCTGCTGGTTCATTCTCAGTGGCCACAATGGCTAGAGCTGCGCCTATCCGAAGCCAGGAGCCAGGAGCTTCTTCCAGGTCTTCTACGTGGGTGCAGGGGCCCAAGGACTTGGGTCATCTCCCACTGCCTTCCCGGACTTTTAGCAGAGAGCTGGATGGGAAGTGGAGCAGCCAGAACTTGAACAGACACCCGTATGGGATTCCGGCACTGCAGATGGCGGCTTTACCTGCTGTACCGCTGCAATGGCCCCAGTAAATGGGTCTTTAAACCCTGCTTTTCTAGGATCTTCTTGAAGTACCTTCATACCCTTCAGAAAATTGTTCACAGTCTTTCTGTGTACAATGTGAAATACTGAAGCCACCACAAATGCTGAAATTCATAATCAACTAATTTCAAAACAGGTTGGCCTCATGAGTTAGAAGTTCTTTCCCCGACAGCTGAGGGCGGCGCCACTGGCATAGGACCCGGCGCCCTGGTGGGTGGCCGTCACATGCATGGCACGTTCTGGTGATCATGGGACTACCGTGCTGTTATTTTAACATTCACTGTTATTATAATTTAAAATCTGTTTTATATCCTATAACAATGTCATCCAAGTGTTCATTAAGTAGCGGTGGCAGTGCCGTGCTGAAAAATGTACCCAAAAATCAATACCCTTGGTACGGAAGTGGAATGTGATAAAAACGCTATGAGGAAGGCCCAGCGGCGACCATGCTGCCCCGGGCTGTTAATTTAGGAGAGAGCCTTCTGCCAGGTAGGAGAGATAATGCTGAGAAAATAAAAAGCAGCATTACGGCAAAGATGCGCTTCCTGGCTACGCATTTATGTGCGTCTAGACCACACCCCTCCCCCACGACTTTTCACATTAATTCCCGTGGGAAAATCAGTCTTAAAAGATGTGAGTTTTGAATTATGCAGGGTCTCCAAGAACTTGTCCCTGGCATCAAATGCAACCTCATTATATTGGAAATGCAAATACCCAGGGAGACAGAAATAACGAACAAAATGAGTCCCACGGAGGTGCAAATGGCTGACATCAGATCCTTTGTTTAGCTCAAGGGAAGGAACCGAGACACTGAAGAAGCAGCGAGGAGGAGCTGGGACAACACGAAAGAACAAACATCCCACACAGACAGACGTGCGCTGTGCACCGAGGGCCTGTGGCCAGCCAGGGATGGCTGGGGTTGGGGGGGTGGGCACCTGGGGACAACACCAGACACCTGCAGCTGCTTTGACCTCACCTGCCAGTTTGCATTTCTCTCCCACCGGGTCTTTTCCTTAAATGACACCCTTTTCACAGGCCGTTCCCTATTCAAACCCCAGGGGGCAGCCCCATGTTCTCCCCAAACACAGCTGAGCAGCCCCGGCTCAGCCAGTCACACGGCTCGCCAGGGGATGTCCAAGTTCACAGGGACGCCCACCGAGCCGCAGATGCCAAATCCCGGCATCCTTTGTCCTTCAGAATTCTGCTCTGGTGCAAATGCTCCTCGCTAACAGCTGTGGGGCCCACGGAGTCCCTCCTGCCTCCCCAGCTAGATTAGGACAAGGCCACGCTCATCACCCTTCTCTACTGAGCTGTCCACAGCACCAGGAAGTGCCAGGCCGAGAGCATTCTGGGTGCAAAGGAGGTCTCTGACAGTGAGAATCAGCCGAGGGCCTGGGGCAGCTCACACCGTCTGGAGGGGAGCATCGGGGTCCACCTGCTCTCTGTGACAGCATGCCTGACCCCAGAGCCCCAGCTTGGAGCCAGAGTAGATGAGCACGTGGGGGCAGCAGTCTTAGCATGAGTTGGCTGAGGCTAGGATGTCCGGAGGAAGGCCAGCAAAGTCCTCCGTCCACCCGGGGAGGCCAGAGCGCGGGGATGGCGGGAGAGGAGGCCCCTGGCTGCCGCAGCACTGCCTCCAGCCTGGGAGACCGGGCCACTCTCGGGGCCCACACTGGCCCCAGGCCTCAGCAGTTTTCAGGAATAACTCTCCGCAGAGCTCCGGCAGAGGCCGTGGGCCAGCAGGGGCCAGGGACTCGGGCACCACCCGCACTGGGGTCTGCAGCAGCAGGTGCACCGAGCGCTTACCGTTCTGCTTGGCTGTCTCGTAGTCCTCCTTGCACACCAGCCGCCCATCCTCCATGAGGTAGAACTCGTCACCCGTGGCCAGCTGCCGGCTGCAGATGATGCAGGCGAAGCAGTGCAGGTGGTAGACGAAGTCCTGCGCCTTGCGGACCACCTGGGTCGGGGGGATGCCCTGCTGGCAGGCCGTGCATTTCGTGCCGAAGCGCCTGGGGGCAGCACCAGAGGGTCAGGGTGACGGCCTCCCGTGCCACTCCCCAGCCGCTGGGGCCCACCAGGCGGGCCTCTCTGCCTCCCGCTGGCTCTGCGCTCACGCAGGAGGGGCTGGGTCAGAACCAGGGCCGCCAGGGCCTCTCCCCTAGCTCATAGTCCAGGGCCCTGGCAAGCACCCTGTAGCTCCCAGGGCGGTAGGCTCCGCCCTCCACCTCCTGCCTGCTCAGCCTCACCGCACCTCTTCACGCACTCCCGCAGGAAGAGGCCCGGGACTCGCGTGGAAGGAGACAGCGCTGTCGGTGACCGCACCAGCGCCCCACAGCCAAGGTCAAAGCCCTCCATGGGCAGAGCCTGGCTCTTCTGCTGCCTTCCTCTTCTGAGCCTCTCCCTGCAGGGGGCACGCACAGAGGCCCCCCACGACACCCCCACCCCCATGCACAGCCCAGGAAGTGGTGGCCTGCGAGGCAGGTGGGCGGGTGTGCCCCGCCCCTGCACATCCTGGAGGCCAGAAGTGTGCAGAGCTCTTGGAGCCAGCAGTACTAAGGCTGGGAAGGAAGGGGAAACAGACAAACAGAAGGGATTGTCGGGTGCCCAGAAGCCCACTGTGGTCACACGGACACCCCGTATAAGGCAGGAGGGCAACCAGGGGGCCGCAGGGGTGCGGTGGGGAGGGGTGCTTGCTGTGGGGCCCCGCCCCGCCCCAGGCGGGAGGCGGAGGCCGGGGAGGCAGGGGCAGAGTTTAAAACAGCAATCAACCTAATTATTCATGACATTTCACACAGCAGAACTTTATCTTCTTCAGGATGAGAGACTTCGCCTAATGGATCTGGGGACGGTTTGATTTTAATGGTCCTTTTAACTAATGCTTATAGGCAGCCTGATTTCCCCTGAAAGGACAGTACATATTTCATCCACATTAATACCAAATAAATTAATTATGGTCACGGCTATCATGATGAATCCCAGATTAATGCCGAATGATGGGTCTCTGCACGCAGTAATGATACCTGCCGAGGGCGGGAGGGGGCCGCGGTGAGCGTGGCCAGCTGGGGCTTCCGGAGCCCCTGTCGGGGGTCCCAGAGAAAGGGAAGCCTTTGTGTCTACAATGGGTAACCCTCCAAGAGCCAGGAGCGTCTCTTCTTCTGCTAGGAGGACAGGAGGTGCTGAGGGATGAGGGGGCTGAGCCATCTTCAGGTAGCGTGGGTGTGTGGGAGGAGTCCTTAGCCTGAGGTTCAGGATGGGATGTGAACCCCCCACCCTGCCACGTTGTTCAAAATCCTACCCTGGGGGTGGGCATTTGGTGCAGGCATTAAGCCACAGCTTGGGACTCCCATATCCCCTACTGGAGTGTGTGGGTTCAAGTGCCAGCTCCACTTCCAAGTCCAGCTTCCTGCTACTGTGCACTATGGGAGGCAGTGAGAGATGGATGGCTCAGGTTTCTTGGGTCTCTGCCACCCATGTGGGAAACTCAGATGATTTTCTGGCTCCTGGCTTTGACCTGGCCCAGCCAGAGTTGTTGCAGGCTTTTGGAGAACGAAGCAGTGGATGGTAGACTGATTTTTTTAAAAGATTTATTTGTTTGAGAGGTAGAGTTCCAGACAAAGAGAGGGAGAGACAGAGGGAAAGGTTTTCCATCTGCTGGTTCACTCCCCAGATGGCCATAACAGCCGGAGCTGCACCGATCCGAAGCCAGGAGCCAGGAGCTTCTTCCAGGTCTCCCACATGGGTGCAGGGGCCCAAGGACTTGGGCCATCCTCCACTGCTTTCCCAGGCCACAGCAGAGAGCTGGATCGGAAGAGGAGCAGCCAGAACATGAACCATCGCCCATATGGGATGCTGACACTGCAGGTGGCGGCTTTACCCACTACAGAGCCAGCACCAGATGGGAGATTCTCTCTCTCTCTCTCTCTCTCTCCCTTTCCCCTTGTTTCTCAAATGAAGAAAATAAAGAAATCAGTGAATAAAGAAGCATGCTTCCAGAGGGCACACAGGGAGAGGGTTAACTCTGAAGGTGGAACAAAGCACGGTGAGAACCAGGCTTCCCGTCTCTGGCCCTGCCCCATCACCTGTACCACAGAGGGAGGGAGGCAGGTGCCCCATCCAGCCTGTGCGTGCGTGCGTGCGTGCGTGCGCTTGGAGAACAAAGAGAAAGGCAGGCTGCATCTGCATTAGCAGGCAAGGTTTACAAAAGGCCTTTTCCTACCCAGTCCTGGCGAACACACCAGGCAAGTGTTGGAGTGAAACAACGCATGGCAGGTGTTTAGCCCAGCGGTGCAGGTGCCTGCATCCTACATCAGAGAGCTTGGGTCCATGCCACAGCTTCACTTCCAACTCCAGCTTCGTGCTAAAGCAGACCCTGGGAGGCAGCAGGTGATGGGTTCCTGTCACCCACGTGGCACACCTGGATTGAGTTCCCGGCCCAGCCCAGTTCTAGCTACCATGGGCATTCGGGCAGTGAACTAGCAGACGAGAGCGTGCCCTGTCTCTGAACTGACGTCCCCACACTCACTGCAGACCCTCCCACTGGACCACCCAAATCCCAAGGTCAAGTTCTAACCTTTTGCTCAAAATGCTGGGACGGAAGAGACCCGAGAGAAGAGACTTCCCCAAAAGTCAAACCCTACCCTGGCGGCCAAAACACAGGGGTGCAGAATTGAGGCAAGAGGGCTTGAAGGGAGACCCCACCCCCACCCTGGGAACAGAGCGAAGACCTCCACCAGCGGCCCCTCCCACAAGGGGGCCACATCTCTCCCTGTTAAAAGCAGATGCGGCTTTCAGAAGCCAGGAGCCCAGTAGACACCCGAGCACCAGAGACATGAAAGATAACGGGGTATAAATTTAATCTGCAGACCGACAGTGATTCATGCACGCGGGTGGCAAGTGCACAAGAAAAATGAAAAATAAATGGACTTGCCCACCAGCGTTTCTTAGCAATTGAAGCAATTTTCCTGATTGTGGGATTTATACCGATGGTAAGTGGAAGTCGCTCCTCATTACCTTTCTCCCCTGGAGCACGGCCAGCAGGACCCTGGCCGAGGGGGCCCCCTGCACCCCAGAAGCCCATGGGGCATCCCCCCGACCTGGCCCGGGCCTGTGGAGCACCCCCGCCCCACCTGCAGTCAGAGCCATGGGACCCGTTCGGGAGCCGTCCTCGGACGACGCGGACGTGATGACGACACTGTCCTCGAGCTCCTAGATCGGAGACCAGCCCGAGTCCCAGGGGAGTAGACCCGGGAATGTGGCTGCTTCCCAGGGCAGCAGCAGCAACACAGCCACAGGCCCCTGGCCAGGAAGGGACTCCCCACTGCGGCAGTCCTTCCACCTGTCACTGAGTCCCCACTGACTCCGGACACAGCCAGCCTCCCCCAGGAAGGCAGCTGGAGCTGATCCAAAGCGGCGAGGAACCTGCCGGGAAGCACCGGCCCAGGCACCGTGTTATCCCCACCCCCCACCCCCCAGCTGAACACCACCACCGAGAATTCTCCCCATCCCTGCAGGCAGCAACAAAGACCCAGTGAATGGGGGCCACCTGCAGTGCTGGCAGCCCATATGGGCACCGCTTCCAGTCCTGGCTGCTCCACTTCCTGTCCAGCTCTCTGCTGTGGCCTGGGAAAGCAGTGGAGGATGGCCCAGGTCCTTGAGCCCCTGCACCCACGTGGGAGACCCGGAGGAAGCCCCGGCTCCTGGAATTGGATTAGCCCAGCTCCAGCCATTGCGGCCATTTGGGGAGTGAACCATCGGATGGAAGACCTCTCTCTCTTTCTCTGTAACTCTGCCTCTCTAATAAATAATCTTTAAAAAAAAAAAAAAAAGACCAAATGAATGAATGAACCAGTGAGCAAATGAGCAAACTGCTTGTTACAGCGCGCGCAGGAGTGGGGAGGGAAGGACCGGCACTTGACTCCCTCCTGCACTGCCCCCCGGAGCTTTCCTCAGAAGGGTCCTGAGGCCCAGGACAAACCGAGACCCTCTGCTTCCTGAACGTGGAATTGTCCGCGCCCCCCCCCCCATGTCACTGTCACACTCGTCACCCTAGACTTGAACTTGACTAGAGGGGCTCTGAGCCCCTGAGCACAGAGCTCCCAGCCTGCAATGCTGGCCTTGCCCAGGGAGAACTCCACCCCCAGGTGCGTTCTCCCAACGTCCCCCCCGCCCCCGGGACCTGCACACCACTGCCCCGCTCCCCGGGCTGGCCCGGGGCAGCGCCTGAGACATCGCAGCCTTCCAGAGAGGCAGCCAGGTCTGGTGCCGCGTCTCAGCCTCTGCTCCAGTGCCGGCCTGAGCTGTGTCCTGTTATCTACCCTCAGCGGGCCTGGCTGGGCCACCCCCGGGGGCGGGGATGAACTTGACAGCAACAGGCAGGCCCTGCAAGTACAGAAGCTTCAAGAACCATACACCCTCCACCACCGATGTCTGGCACATCTCTAAGTTCTGTCCTGTGGTCAGACTCACGTAAGGTGACCACACTTTGGTCACCAAGGCGCTACTCAGGAAGGCCGCTCCAATCCCCAAGCACCTACTGTGTGTCTCCCTGAACAGTCGCCCTCAGGAACCCCGGCCACAGCCTCATGGCTCTCAGTCCTCGGCGACACAGGCTCCTGGCTGGTGGCCCTCTACCCTCTCCTGAGCGTCCCCGCCTCCATGATCCTTAGCCACTCTCTGCCAGGCGTCACCAGGAGCTGCCACATGGGGGCGAAATCACAACACACTGCTGCCTCCCGACCTTCTGCCTCCAGCCCCAGCCTCGTGGCCGGCCGGCTTCCTGTTGCCCCAGCACCTGTGCCTCCCTGGGCTCCCTGCGGTGGTAGCTCCTGTCCAAGTCCAAGTCCAAGTCCCAGAGCACACCTTTCTCACCCACTCGGATCCTCCTAGCATCCGGCCGCTTCGCCTCCGTCATCAGTAATAGGCTCCCGGCAGCCTACTATTTCTGCCACTTAAAACACCCTCTCTTGACCGCGCCTCTTCCTCCAGCCACCACCCACCTCTGCTCCCTGGC